GTGTCCACAGATTTAACTGAAGTGACTGACCATCAATGTAACTGTAATTGAATCCTCCACTGTTGAATAATTGTGGAAAAAAGTTTTTAAAAATAAGGCTTAGGGAACAACAGCCCCCAAACTTGGTGTATTGTACTGTAATAAAATTAAGACCATTTGTTCATTAAACAAACAAACAACAAAGGTAGTGAAAAGGCAAGCCAAGGAGTGGTAGAAGATAATTGCAACACTTGACTCATATCCATAACAAATAAAGAACTATATAAGTCGATAAGAAAAAGACAAAAGAAAAATTGGTGAAAAGACCTTATCAGGTACTTTACAAAAGAGAATATCCAAATAGGTAATAAACATGTGAAAAAAATAGTCAATAGCATAGTCATCAGGGAAATACAAATTAAAACCATAGTGTGATATTATTATACCTCCAACCAGAATGGCAAAAATGAAAAATACAGAAAACTCCTAATACTGATAAAGCTGGAGAGGAACAAAACTTCTCATACTGTCAGAGTCAAAAATTGGTATTAGGACTCTGAAAACCTGTTTAGCAATATATCTACTAAAGTTGATTACGTGCATATTTCGTAACTGGCAAGTACACTAATAGGCATTTTCCAACACATACATATATCTATGTGCACCAAAAGACATGTAAAACAATGTCCATAGCAGTACTATTGGTAAAAAGCCCAAACTGGAAACAAATCAAGAATCTATCAGTGGAATAGAAAAATATAAAATAAGTAATGAGAACTTGAACTTCAACTTCACAACATGTGTGAATTTCATAATTATAATGTTAACAAAAAGAAGCCAGACACAAAAGAGCATGACAGGGACCATACTGTAGCCATTTATGTGAAGTTCAAAAACAGGCAAAACTATGGTGTTAGAAGTCCGTCTTGGGGTGTAGTGACTAGAAAAGGGCAAGAAGAAGTTTCTTGGTTCTGGAAATGTTCTGTTTCTTGCTCTGGGAGGCGTTTACATGGTGACCATTTACTGAAATGTGCACTTAGGTCCTGTGCACCAACAGCAGCCCAATAGGGCCGGCCAGCTGTGAGTAGGGTTTGCTACATGTGAGTTATCCTTCAAAGAAAGGAAATGGGCTCTTCACAGGCCTAGTCTTTTTTCTTGTTTTTGGTCACTTGACCCAAGAAAAACTTATGCTTCTGCTCAAACTACACAAAATCTCTTGTTGAAATATCTCTGTCAGCTCCCTGGCTTCTCCCCTCATATCTGCATCTTAAGAACTTATTCCCAGAGTCCTGAGGGACACAGGAAGAACACCTAGCTTTCCCTAGACATTCTCAACACTTCCTCAACTAGATCACATTTCCTCTGAAAGCAACTGAGTCTGCTTACATGTGATTCTGCCGCTAACATGCATTACCTTTGGCATTATCAATTACAAAGAAGTTTGAGCTTATTGCTTTTGACTATCTAAATAATATATTTGGGTGTTTTGTCCTGAATAATAAAACATTTCCCCCTCCATCTCTAGGAAATAGAAATTTGCTACAGATTGAAAAGAGTGGCAGGTTTATTTTCCTGCTTCTATTCATTAAAGTCTCATGTAATTCCACGTCTAGAATATCTTAGAACTACACTTTGAAATGGGCCACAGACTCTATGTATAAGATGTCTATTGCAGTACTGTTTATAGAAGTAGAAGAGTAGGAAAACCTTAGTACTAATAGGCAGAATGGTTACATTAATCATATTACAGTCATAGAGCAGACACATAGAAGACTTCTTTATTAATATAAACAGTGACAAAAGTAAGATATAAGACAATATGTAGAGTATTCTAATAATCACAGTTTTTTATATTTGTCTTTTAGCTATAGTTGGACACAATACCTTTCTTCCTTCCTTCCTTTCTTTCATTTATTTATTTTTATGTGGTGCTGAGGATGGAACCCAGGGCCTCATACATGCTAGGCAAGCACTCTGTCACTGAGCTATAACCCCAGCCCCTAACAATCACAGTTTTAATTTTAAGTTTAGATATAGGGCTGGGGGTGTATCTCAGAGGTAGAGTGTTTACAATGCCTTGGGTTCAATCCCCAGTACCATATAAAAAAGTTTACATATATATTAATAGTTTTGCTTTAGTGGAAGGTGACTGTGGGACTAGGATTTTGGGGTTGGAGGGAGACTTTTCACTGTTTATCACTGTGTGTTTTTGTCTAAACTATCATTATTTACTATGTGATGGCAGAAATGTCAACTAATGATAAAATATTAGAGTCTGCATTTTCCTCTGGACACCCTACTCACAGCTGGCCCCCTGGGGTGCTGTTGGTGCACAGGAACCTTGATGTGATGTTCTGAGTCTATTGATTAATTTCAGTAAGGAGCCACTTAGAGCTCAGACTTTCACTTAAATGAAGACACACACACAGAGGAGAACACCCAGGAAGGCCCTGTGATTTCCATCCCTCCTGCTCCATGCCACACTCACCTCTGCGGATTTCCAGCTGTACAGGGTCACTTGGCACCGAGAGACCTGTCTGGCACCTGTATTCTCCACTCTCACTGACCCTCGCTGCAGTGATGCTATACTTGGAGGTCGAGGTCTGAATGGCTGTGCCGTTGAGAAACCACCGTGTGGAGTTGTCTCCAGGCCGTTGCGGCCCCTCACACAATAGGGTGACCTGTTCATCTTGGAACACACTTACCCACGGAGGCTGCAAGGTGATCACTGCCTTTGTGGGGTCTGCTTGGGGATAAAACCAAAGCAAAACAAAAAGTGGAGTGAAAGGAAGGGCTCCGAGTGGTTGGTGAGGTTTTGTGGACAGCACAAGGAAAAGTTGCGTATTTAGATTAGTTTAAAAACTGGGCAAGCAGGAGCCCACAAAAGCCAGATCCTGCTGTAGAGAGCTCTGTTTTTACTATGAAATCCTAATTGGGGTGTTAGAGATTTGGGGTTCCTGAGGATGGATTACTGACTTAGATCTCCCTAATTCTCCTAGTGAAGCAAGTTCTAAACTAGTGCAGACTGTCAGGAGTCAGTGTCCTTGTCCTCAGTGCTATACTGTTTCTGAGGGTAAAGCACAGACCTTCATAGGCTTCTGCTTTGGAAATGGAGGCTCAAATGCCTCCCTTTGAAGCCTTCAGTACCTGCCTGACTCTCTCTGAGGAGAAAAAACTGATTTAGCTTTCTTGTAACAGGGATTGCCCTGCGGGATGTTGAAAAACCCAGCCTAGCTGCCTCTGTGTTTTCGCAATCCTGGCCATTTCCGCTCTCATAAGCACATTTAGGCATTTAGTGCCTCAGTCGGGGCTCAGAAAGCCTTAGAAGCCCTGGAAAGAAAACTGACAAATCATATCACACTCTGCATGTACACAGTTTATAAGTCTTTCTTCTGACTGTGCTCTCTCTATTCTCTCTTCTTTAGGTTAACGGAACTCATCCTTTGGAAGAAAGACAGTGGCCTAAGAGGAGAATCTGAGGTAGCCATCACTTACCCACTTGCCCACCAGCTGGAACTGCAGATGGAAGAGCAGAGACATCAGGTGATTAGTGGGAGATGATGAGACAGGAAGAATTGGAGAGACAGAGCTAATTAGACTCTGGGGGGCCAGTTTAGGTTTCTTGACCTAAACTATCCCTCTTTCCAAAAACCAAGTACCAGCCGAACTGATGATTATTGATGAAACTTTATTTTGATATGGGGTTTTCAGTCTAAATGTATCTCAGGGTCCCCCTTCCCACCCTTTTGATATAATAAGCACCAATAAAGCATCAAAGCACAGATACAATTATCTTCATACTCATGAGTTCTAACCCAAATATCCAAGGAAGACCAAAAAATCTTGATCCAAAGCCAGAATCCATGCCCATCTAGTCACCCTCTCCGAGCCCAACTTACCCCAAAGGAGCAGAGCTGTCAAGAGCCACATATCACCTCCAAGCTGGCGAGCAGTAAAATCTGAAACATGCAAGACACCAAAGAGGTTTTACTGGGGGATTTGAAGCCAAGATTAGAAAAGAGGAAGGAAATTGCCTTTTCTCACCACTTTCATCATGACCATTTTCTGGGAAGTACATCCTTAATTCTTTACATATATAAATATATATTTTTAGTTTAGATGGACAAAATACCTTTTATTATTATTATTATTTTGGTGGGGTTCTTTTTTTTTTTAACTGGGGGTCAAACTCAGGGCTCTGCCACTGAGCTACATCCCAGACCACAATACCTTTATTTTATTGTTTTGTTTTTATGAGGCAAGCAAACGTTCAACCACTGAGCCATAACCCAGCCCTATACCTAATTCTTGAAGCATGTACTCCCCATTCTCCTGTTCCTTAGCCCATCTCTTTCAGTGTGAAGTTCTGGTTTTGGGGTTATGAACTCTTAAATCCAGGGGAAGGGCTAAAGTTTTAATGACATTTTATTTTGATTATTCTTCCTCTGTTTCTTAGGATTAAACTATGAAAAACACCACTTTTATAATTGGTTCAAGGCCTGGCTAATGTTCGGTCATTTGAACCCAGAAGATCCTATGTCAACTTTGAGAGGCATATAAAGAGTTGCTCATATTTGAGAGTTCCCTTAATACAAAGCCAGCCTTTGCTCCTCTGGGGAGTAGGAAGGATTAGTGTTCCATTTTAGCAAAAACATGTAAAATGCCATCCTCCTGATTATGAGCTTAAGATATCATGAGTTTGTACTGTTTATCTTGGCCAAATGCAAAGAAATTAACTGTTTTTCTAAAATATTTATTTTTTAGTTGTAGTTGGACACAATACCTTTATTTTATTTATTTTTATGTGGTGCTGAGGATCGAACCCAGGGCCTCACACATGCTAGGCAAGTGCTCTACAGCTGAGCCACAACCCCAGCCCAAAATTAAATGTTAAATGTAAATATTGTGGCAAAGACAAATAACTCCTACCTATTCCTTAGGAAATATCCCTAAGAAGGAAGCTTTACAGTAGATTTAGAAAACTCTGTGCCACCAAAGTGAGTTGGTTCCTGAGGTAGGGTTGTAAAGATATAAAGAAGTTTTTAGGCAGTCTGTCAAGAAATAAAGGGAGATAAAAAGAAATTAGAATGAGTTGAATAAATGCAAGAGGAACTTGGGTAGCAATCTCACGGCAGGGAATAAAAAAACGATGACAAGTAACACTACAGATTTAATTACAGCCTTGATTTTTCCCCTCAGTCTACACTGTCTTCATAGCCCCATGAGAGGCTGAGAATACCTCTCTGACTCTCGACTATGGCTCATCTGTGTGATTTTCACTAGACCGGAATGCGGTGGAAACAACATTGCACTACTAGCTTAGAACCAGAATTTCTTTTTTGTTTTGTTTGTTTGTTTTTGTTTTTGTATATGGGATCGAACCCAGGGCACTTACCACTGAGCCGTATCCCCAGACCCTTTTTATTTTTTATTTTGAGACAAAGTCTCATTTAGTTGCTCAAACTTGCAATCCTCCTGTCTCAGTTGCTGGGATCATAGGCATGCACCACTGTGCTGGGCAAGATCTGGAAGTTCTAAGGAAGCTTCACACACTCTCACTCTCTGTGCTTCTGTGATTGTCATGATGAGAACATTCTCTGGCTAGCCAGCCATAGTGTGAAGTGAGCTGTTCTAGCCGTAGTAGCCTAAAGTAGAGCTGCTTCAGTTACCCTGCAAACATGCAAGTGAAAAATACATGCTTACTGTTGCATGCCACTGAGATTTTAAGATTATTATAGTTGACACGGGACCACCACCCCAGATTAAAACCCTAAATTTTGATCTTGCTAAAGCTTTTTTGTGTTGGTTTTAAGCTCCCCATCTGGAAGGCCCCACTACCCTACCATTAGTCAACCCCAAGAAGCTGTTTTAAACCCAAGCAACTTTTCGTTTTAAGGAACAAATACAGGGCAAATTCAGATTAGCAAACACATTAAATCATCCCATTATGGGAATAAGAAATTAAAATTGTACATCTTTAATTGAATCAGAGAAAGAGATCAAGGAGGACTCTCCAATGAAAAGTTAGTCCTTCATCAAAACAATATAAAAATCCCTAAAGAGCCACTGACAGTGCCCCTCCCATGCTGTGGGAGCTTTCCTTGCCTGCTTCTAGTAAATCTGCTACTGAATTCTCACTCTCCATTGTCTGAATACTTCATTCTTCAGGTGCATGAGACAAGAACCTTCCAATGCTCCTGTGACCCTGTGTCACACAGTGATAGCTGTCTGACAGAAGTGGAAAACAAGGAAGACTTGAGAGGAACTCAAGATGTTCTGAGAGAGATGAGAGAAGCCTCAGGTCCATGAGATTTACCTTCAAAGACGTTCATAACTCTTATACTATTTTGTCTCCAAAGTTAGCTTCTATACAGATGTACCGTAATTTCTTTCATCAGCCTTTCTTCATGGACACAGAGTATATTTCTAACTTTTTGTTATGATCCGCTCTGCAATACCTTTAAACATTTGACTTATTATTTCCTTAGGACACATATCTAAAATCAGCACTGCTCAAAGAAGGTTTCAATTTTTTCTTTTGGATAAAAGATTATTGTCATCTTTTATGTCAGATTATCATCATTGTTGCAATCTCACTGGCAGGGAATATTTTATAATGATGACAAGTAGCATTATAGATTTAATTAGAGCCTTGATTTTTTTCCCCTCAATCTACCAATATTTGTACTGTATGTCAGATAGTTATGCTATGATTATGTATAAAGACATGAATGGTGTGAATATACTTTGTATACAACCAGAGATCTGAAAATATGTGCTCTATATGTGTAATATGAATTATAATGCATTCTGCTGTCATTAGAATGAAAAATAAAAAATAGGGATTTCTATTTTGCTAAATCCAATATTGTAATATGGTCAATACTTAATATTGTAATGAGACTTTTAGTCCCTCTCCCCAAATCTATAGTTATAAAACAGACCCACAGTACTCCTAATTTTAATTTCCCTGTTTATTAATAAAGTTGAACAATTTTTCCTATATTTATTCACTAGCTATGTAGTTTTTTTAAAAATTATTTATTTACTTATTTAGTTCGTTAGTTTTTTGCGGACACAACATCTTTATTTGTATGTGGTGCTGAGGATCAAACCCTGGTCACACGCATGCCAGGCAAGCGCGCTATCACTTGAGCCACATCCCCAGCCCCTATGTAGTTTTTTTAAAATGAAATACGTCTTTAGCTTTTATTTTACTCACTTTGTGCACTTTTGCCGTTTTCATACCAATTTGTAGCAGTTTAAAATTTTAGTCTAGATACAAACCCTTGTGGATTATTTGTATTGAAATTATTTCTTCCTGATTTGTAAGTTTTCTTTTCATTTTCTTATGTTATCCTTTCACATACAAAAGTTCTTAGTTTTGATGTAGTCACATTTATCAATATTTTATTTTATGGATAGTATTTTGTCTTGCTTACTTAAAAAGTCTATTTCAATGTATTTTCTTCTAAAAGTTTCAAATTTTTTATTTTAAACTTTAGTCTCCAATCTGTCTGTAAATTATATCTATATATGGTGGTAAAGTAGGTATCCAATTTCTTTTATTACATATATGTATTATATACACATATACACCACACACACACACACACACACACACACCACATATACATACATACACACATAACCAGTTGTCTCAGTATCATTTAAAGTACGTAATTGGAAATTCTGATAAAAACTATCATAATATATATAATTGTATTTATCATATATAATTATGTGTGTGTTTATATATATATATACATACTGTGTGTGTCTGTGTATGTGTGTGTATATAGTGTGTAATTCTGACTGGAGTCTATGCAATTTCACAGGCAATTTGCTTTCCCTGTCCCAATACCACAACATCTTAATACTATGGATTTATAACATGTCTTCAGGTATGGTCATGTATGTATCTCTAACTTACTCATCTTCAGGATGTCATGGTTATTCGTGGATTTTTGCTCATTAACATACCTATCTGTATCAACTCATCAAATATTTGTTGGGACTTAGATCAGAATTATATTGAATATGTAAATTAATTTGGAGAGGGTTTGTATCTTTATGTCATTGAGTCTTATAAACTATGAACCTGGTCTATATTCAATTATTTTGCTTTCCTTAATAAGTTTGCATATTTTTATTCATAAATGTCTCACAGGGATCTTGGAGGCTATCTTCCTAAAAAAGTGTGTATGTGTATAAAGGCATATTGGGGGTTTTATTTCCATACCATCAAAATGAAGCAAATATTATAATAAAGTGAGACACATGAATTTTTTTGGTTTCTCAGTGCTTATGAAATTTATGTTCACACTATGCTACAGTCTATTAAATATGCAATAGCATTATGACTGAAAATTATGGCTGAAAAGCCATCATTAATTTTAAAATACTGTATTGTTAAAACATGCTAATGATCATCTGAACCTTCAGTGAATCACAATTTCTTTGCTGGTGGAAGGTCTTGTTTCACTGTTCAGATTTGCTCACAATCAGGGTGGTAGTTGCTGAGGACCGAAATGACCACTGCAATTTCTTAAAATAAGACAACACATTTTGCTGCATTGACTGGCTCTTCCTTTCACAAAGATTTCTCTCTAGCGGGTGATGCTGTTTGATAGAACTCTCAAAACTGAAGTCAGCTCTGTTCTTGCTTTATTCACTTAAGTTTATGTAATATTCTAACTCTTTTAGTACCACTTGAACAATGTTCACAGCATTTTCACCAGGAGTGAATTGTATCTCTTAGCTTACCCATAAGAAGTAACTCTTCACCGATTAAAGACTTAATTGAGATTGCAGCAATTTAGCCATCAGGATCTATTTCTAATTCTAGTTCTTTTGTTATTCCCAATTCATCTTCACTTACTGCCTCCAGTCATGTCTTAAATCTCTCAAATTCATCCAAAGGGCTAGAATCACTTCCTTCTAAACTTCTGTTAATGTTGATATTTTGACCTCTTCCCATGAATCAAACTTATTCTTTTTTTGGGTGGGGGGGATGAACTCTTTTTGAATGTGAGGAGTACCAGTGCTTCATATATTTTTCCTTTACTCTTCGTAGTCACCCAGTTCTCCCTAACTCCACAGTGTAGCAGAATGGATTTCACATATTAGGTGGAATCCAAAGGCTGATGTTTACTCTGAGTTCCCGTCAGACTCTGCCCTTACCACTGCTGAGAGAATCTGCACTCCCAGGGCTGTGCTGCCTGGGGACCAGCGTGGTCCCCGTTCTCCTCATCTGTTTTTTCATTAAGTCATCTTTTCCAGTAGTTGAGTTCTTTCCAATGAGATTCCTGACAGTGCCTCAGCACTGCCATGGAGCACCTGGTGTTTTCTACCATTTCCATAATGCAGTTCAGGTGGTCAAGATGTTTCCGTTCCTCAGATCATTCCCCTTCTGTCAAATGGTGGTCTAGCCACTCCTCCTGATCGCCTCCATTTAGACCAATACTGGGTGCCTCTCACACACTTCTCGGTGTTCTAGCATCTTGTTAGGTTCCTGATATAGGTGAGAAGTTGGAATATCTTCTAAGGTGTACTGCTGAGGAGGTGAAGGAGGAGGATGGAACTGGCCCCCTGATTCATGGGGGGCACAGTGAGGGCAGGACTGTGCCCAGGAACAAGCCTGATTGCACAGCTCTCTTGGCAGGAGGCTCAGGAGGAATTGTATCTCTTTCTAAATCACTCTCTTCCCTTCTCTCTGGACTGGGCCTTTTTCCATTTCCA